CTCAGACGCAGAAACCAACGTGTGTCCTATTTGCGCTAGTATGAGCCGACGTAGGAAATGCATGAACGGAAAACTAGTTTCAGTACGCCTTTTGACGTGAGTGTGTCAAAATCCACCCTCCACTTCCTTACCGTGAAAAGGTCCGGAAAAACGCTCCCACCCCTGAGACCAGCAGGTCCTGTCTTTTCACCCGTTCACAGTTGAAGAATGAGCCAGAAAAAGAGCAAAAAACACAGAAGTGCGACGCGGAGGGACTCGAGAGACCGGCGGAGTCCCCTCGCCGCGGAGTGTGAAACTTTGGCGACGACATCCAATAACACGCAAAGTCGAAAAACCCGCCTCTACCCCCTACAACTACCAGGTACACTACGGTCCACTAGTCTCTACACCTCTAACTCCGACCTGTCTACATACCTACCCACTCCTTGGTCACCTCGTCTGTTCAGGTCCTACCACCTGGCTGCGACACACAACCCTTCAACTACACACTCTCTTCAAACGTCGTCACTTCCAAAGGAGATTTAAAGTCCCGTTAGTAAAACGGTCCAAGCCCAGCAGTGTACTTACAATTTTTAGCGGATTCTCCTCTTGTCTACCCAATACCGTCTTTTGACTCACTCTTTCAAGTAATATCCAGCCTCTCTCTTCCTCCCTCAAACCGAAACCCCATGCCATCTACTACGCTTTGCTATCACCACCCCTAGGCATTAGACTAAACCTCGTCCTACTCAAACTGTCGACCTCACCCTGGTCTCCAATTGTTTCTTCCAACACTTCGTAGTCCCTACCCCTAATACCCATCGAAAATAAAGGAAAGACTATTAACGTCGATATGGTGGTGGGGCGGAACAACCCGCTCCAAACAGTTACATACACTTAGGACGACCCCACTAAACTAAATTTCTTTTTATCAGGTCCCCGAAAACGTACAAAGCAGCCCTATGTCTTTCAGGTCTAATAACAGAAATTACTTAAGTAAGTCTTACACCAAAATAACACCTACCTCGCACACAACTCGTCCGACGAGACTCCAACTGCAACGTAACCCCCCAACCACACTGCCCCCTCACCTTCCATTTGACACTAACCAGTCTAAGTGCACAAAAAACAA